GGAACCTACCCCCCCTGTCCATCATAACCTCATCCTCCGAGAAGGGTACCCTCCTATGTATTAGAATTGCCGTGTCTCTGGCTTTGCCCCCGTGTTAGTCCGTGGGATATTGGTGATTATGGAGTCTGCTGGAAGTACCTATTTTGGAAACTAGCAGATGTCTCGTCAAGGCCTTGCCCTTTCCTTAAAGTGCACTTCTTGGAGAAAACTGATAGAAGCCCTGGAGAAATGAAAATTTTGTAGGGTGCTCGACCTTATTTCTGATTTGTTTAATCCCCCAGAATTAATATAGATCATTGTGAGATTGGCTGGTGTCAGGCCTTGTCTCGTCAAGGCCTTGCTCATTCTTTAAAGTGCGTTTCTTGGGAAAAATTATAGAAGCTCTGGAGGAATGAAAATCGTGTAGGGCACTCAACCTTTTTTCTAATTTGTTTAATCCCCTAGCATTAATAGAGATAATTGTGAGATTGGCTGGTGTCAGGGACATGATTGGCCTTTGTGAGTGTCATGAAGTCATCAGTAGTCAAAAGTCAGGGGAGAGGTAGGAGATGGGGGGGGAGAGAGGAATGAAAAAACAGTAGGAATTGTCTCCTGTGGGTCGGGAATCCCGTCTACCTGATTGAGACACTCTGTCCCATGGGAAAGTGTAAGGAGGCCAAGAGCCTCCGAGTGAATCGGGGTCTTGCGAGCAGGGTCTGTCTCAAATAGGTTGTCACGTGACCACTGTCTGTCTCACAAAAACCCTACAGTACACTAGTGTGGCCAGAGATAGATCAGGGTACAGATGTATTTCTGTCCCCTCAAATAGACTTGTTCTGTGTCTCTTGCCTTTCTAAGGATGTCTTCTTTCAGTTTGAAATTAGCCAGACAGCATATGATGTCACGGCGGGCTCTCCGGTGGTTGTTTATGCCAGAGAGCTCTGTGGGCTCTTAGAAAGTCAATCAGGGTCTGTGCAGGGTGGCCCAGCAACCTGTTGAAGAGTTCTGTGAGGATGACCTGTAGGAGGAATGTGGGTTCTCTCGTGGCGTGTCTGCAGGCTTAAGAGCATGTGATGCTCGGTGTGTTTTGCCCATTTTTGTACCGGGAAAGTGTGTTAGGCGAGGATATGTGTGGAGTCTTTAGGGAGTAAGAGAATTACATCGCCATCTTTCTCGGTATCCAAGCTACGCTCCCTGATGCTTATCCTTTGACAGGATTCTTTCGGTTGGCGAATTCCTGTTCCTGTTATGGATTTGTTCCTGCTTGCTGCATTGTTGCCTGGTTGGACTGGATTTGACTGCGATGTTATAGTGCGGTTGGACTGATTCATCGGTTCCTGTTACTTGCTTGTTTTATTGTGTTCGCATCTTCAAAGAAAGAGGAAGAGTTAATGGAGGTGCTGACTATTATACTGGGAATTGGTATGGTAGTGGCTTATATCACAATGTATACCATATTTATCTTACTGTTTTTTGTATTCTTTGCTGCTATTGGTGAACAGTAAAAAAAAGGATATGCAATACTTGCCTCTGTGTCTTTAATAAAATCATGACTTTTCATCATGTAATAGTAAAATCATATAATTTTGTTATGTAATAGTTAATTGCAAAAATACAATCCTATACCATTTCTTTTAGATAAACCTTCCTTGCTAAATGGTTTAATGGTGTCAATGTGTGAAACAGCATGACTTTGTTAAATTGTGACGACTAATTGGTAGATTAGAAATGGTCTAAAGAAAAGTGTTATAGAAAAGTGTTTATAACAACCCTTAGCAATATAAATGCATAGAAAAGAAAACATAAATTGTTATATTTTTACAGACACTTTTAGAAGGTGTCATTAATACATTGTTAAGTATTATAAACCAGTTGTATATATAGGAAGTGCAAATTGCTCATGACACTCAGGTGTTTTGTATGAAAATAATATTTGCATTTGAGCATGTGTTAATAATGTAAGCATGATCCTATATCAAGTACTTGGTATAGTATTGGTAGAGCTTTGTATAGTGGTAATAAGATCTCATATTTAAATGTTTTAATTTCACAAAAAGCAATCCCTTCAAAGACATTTATAGTATTGGACCCTAAACACACAAGCCTCTTTGGCATTTTTGTTATATATCTTTAAACCATGATAATATTTATATACATTTAATACTTCTTTAATATTATAGTTTTAGCAAGTAATAATTTTCATTCTTTTATGCAAAGATTGTATCTGTAATATCAAACAAAAAGCAGTAACAGTTCATAAAGTGTAGAGTAAAAAAACGCATTACTAAGATTTTTTCCCTAACCAGAGATTTTGAATCAATCAAAATCAATCAAAAAATCACATCAAGTTCATGATATAACAAATGTTTTACTTATTGCTGTCAAAATTTTGTTTTCATTTAACCCCAAGTTAATGTTTTGTGAATAATCAACATAATCAAAAGCATAAATATCTATCAGAAGTAGTAACAGTAGCATTAAAGGAGCACTATAGGGTCAGGAACACAAACATGTATTCCTGACCCTATAGTGTTAAAACCACTATCTAGCCCCCTTTGCCTCCCTAAATATAGTAAAACCTTACTTGTATTCAAGTCTGAAGCTGATGCCTCTGCCTGTGAATTTCCTCTGACCTCTGACATCATCAGAAGTGGTGGCCTGATCCAATCACAATGCTTCCTCATAGGATTGGCTGAGACTGACAAGGAGGCAGGTCAGGGGCAGAGCCAGCACAATTCAAATACAGCCCTGGCCAATCAGCATATCCTCATAGAGATGAACTGAATCAATGAATCTCTGTGAGGAAAGTTCAGTGTCTACATGCAGAGGGAGGAGACACTGGATGTTTGGATGCATTTTAGGCATCCATGACCCAGGAAGGATCTCTAACAGCCATCTGAGGAGTGGCCAGTGAAGTTATCACTAGGCTGTAATGTAAACACTGCATTTTCTCTGAAAAGACAGTGTTTACAGCAAAAAGCCTGTAGATAATGATTCTACTCACCAGAACAAATTCAATAAGCTGTAGTTGTTCTGGTGACTATAGCTTCCTTTTAACCCCGTAAGGACCAAACTTCTGGAATGAAAAGGAATCATGACATGTCACACATGTCATGTGTCCTTAAGGGGTTAAGTCTATGACCTTTTTTTTAAAGGGACACTATAGTCAGCAGAACAACTACAACTTATTACAATAAACATTGTCTTTTCAGAGAAAATGCAGTGTTTGTATTACAGCCTAGGGATACTTCCAATGGCAACTCCTCAGATGGCTGATAGAGGTGGTTCCTGTGGCAGTTCTGCACAGTGTACAGAACTGACATTCAGTCTTCCCTCCCTCTGCATGAAGACATTGAACTTTCCTCATAGAGATGCATTGATTGGCCAGGGTGGCATATGGGAAGATGCTGATTGGCCAGGGTGGCATTTGGTCCCACACCCAGCCCGCCTCATTGGCAAACTCAGCCAATCCAATGCTTTCCATGTGTTACAATCCAATGACTTCCATATGGGCCAAACCAATGCTTTCCACGTGAGAAAGCATTAGATTGGCTGATATAATCAATTCTGATGATGTAAGCCAAAGAGGCAGATCGGGTGCTGGGGTGGGGCCAGCACTTGCAGGCCCAAGGAGATCTGGACATAAGGTCCCCTAAATGGTGGTTTTAACACTATAGGGTCACGAATGTATTTTTGTTTCTTTAAGAACAAATGTAACAAAAGGCAGTGAAAGAAAATCATAAAGATTCACAGATTCACTTGGATCAGTTATAGAACAAAACAATATGCATAGTAATTGTGCACCCATAAGTGGTGATGAATAAAGATAGTTAATTCAGGCTCATTAAAATATATAGTTTTACAATACACATATATTAAAAGTGCAAAAAAATGTAAAACTGTAAAACTTAATATTAGAGAATTATGCCTCATTGAGTAGTTTCCCAAGACTGCAGTTGATTTATTCAGAATAATTCTGAAATGATACAGTTGGCTGCAAAATCCACTAAAATGCTATAACTCTTTAAGGAAAAATCTTCAACCCTCTCAATTATTTTCAGTATAATATATAATAATCATGTGCAGAAAAGACATATCGTTGTGTATAAATAGATGTATGTCTTTTATGTTTTTTGCATAGAAGTTTTATTGCTCTCCCTAACATTTTAAAACTATTCGCAAATTCAAAAAGAGCAATATAAAGCAATCGGTTTTGATCATCAGCATATGGCAACAGAAAATATTTATCAGTAAGTATTCAATAAGGCAACAGGACCTAGTAGACAGCAGTGTATGAGTAATGCACAAATATAAGGAACATGTCCTGGTTTCCTGAGTCCAACAATAAAAAATACATAGAAAAACATATTTTATTGCCTTGGTGAACAATGATTTCCAAAAGTGCTGTTTTTACTTATTTTCACTGTGTGATGTATGCACATGCTCGTAATTCACACATATACCCGCAAAAGAAAATGATAAGATACAAGTTTTTATTTATGTATTCAGTCGTTTATTTATTTATTTATTTATTTACACCTATATTTGGAATTATGTCCCGAAATATATTCAGGTATGTTTTGAGTGAATAATACAATAATAATATAGTGAGAGCAAACTCTATACACCAGATAAAATGGATATAAAAACAGGCAATATTACCATATGGCTGCAATGTCCTAAAAATAGAAAATAGGGAACATAGTATAGCCTGTATAGAATATACAAAAAATAATACAATGTAAAATTGTCCACTCACGTGGTACTGAGCCGTTCAGTGGCTCAGACTATAGGCGCCTTGTAAAAATATGGAGACCACAATGCTGGAAAGGCAAATCTCTGTAGGAATTCCCTTTTGTGACTAAATGGAAAGTCGAGTCAGGAAATACAGGAACAAATTTTATTCGCCAACAATCGCATATAAAATGGAATCTCTCAAATTATTGCACTAACGCGTTTCAACCTAAACGGTCTTTATCAAAGTGCTAACAGTGTTAAACAAATTAAACATTTAAATATAATTACAAAAAGGCGCGCTGTGATTTCTTCCGGTTCACTTCCGGATTTCGGCTATCCGACCTCCAACTTCCGGTCACGTTGTATTGCGTCTCTTCAAACACTTCCGGGTCAGCGGACGGTGTTTCTCTTGCGTTCCAGTACGTCTTCAATCTCAGTCGTAATTTCCGGCTTCCGGTCATGTGACCTATCACGGGATACTTTCGGGCAAAAATCATGACTCCCTTGCATTTTAATAAAGTTCCGGTCTCAAATAAAATCGAAATTTACTTCAAATGTCTCTAATTAATATGTCCATACATAAATCCATCGAGCATATTTTTTAAAATAAGAATAAATAAATCAACAAATATAAAAATGATCACTCTATCAATTATACACAATAAAAAATTAAAAAATGTCTCTAAAAAGATAAAATAGAGCTCATTAACAATACAGGGATACATATATGAGGAGAGAAAAAAGGGGGAGAGAAGATAATAATGGATTAAGATACATAATATAATTATAATACATCTAAAAAATATATATATTATAAAAAGGGAGTAATTTCAAAATCCACATTCAAGCCATCAGGAGTCAGGGTGTTGAGGTTAAACATCCACCTCATTTCTGCTTTGCTTAGAATATTCTCTTTACAACCCCCTCTCCAATGGACTTTAATTTTTTCTATACCTATAAATTGAAGTCCCTCTGGGTTACCATTATGGTGGTCTAAAAAGTGCTTCGAGACGCTGTGATTAATAAATTTTTTCTTTATATTATTAATATGTTCTCCTATTCTGACTTTCAGTTTTCTTATCGTTTTACCCACATAATGATAACCACATGGACAAGTTAAAAGGTATATAACATTGGTTGTATTGCACGTGATTAATGAATGTATTTTATATTCATCTACTGGATTATTATTCGAAGAAAAGGTCTTAATATTCCTCCTTGTAATTTTATTTAATCTGCATCCAGTACAGTCTCCACAATAATAAAAACCTATTTGTCCACCTAAAAAATTATTTATATCCTTCTTCACTTTTTTCTCCAAAAAACTTTTAGTTAAAATTTGTCTAAAGTTTCGTGCTCCTCTAAAAATAAATTGGGGTCTATCTCCTAAATAAGGTAAAAGTTCTCTATCCTCCTTTAATACATGCCAATTCTTTTTAAAAACATTGCATAAAGATCTATTATTAGTACAAAAATTGAGGATCAAAGGGATCTGTTCCTCCTTCTTTCTTTCTTTATCTTTATATTTCAGAAGTAAATCCCTATCTCTTTCTCCTATTTCGTCTCTAATATTTTTAATTAAAGTTAGATCATACCCTTTATCTACAAATTGCTGTGATAAATTACATGATTGGTCTTGATAATCTTTAAAATCCGTACAATTCCTCCTTAATCGGAGGAACTGGCCTTTTGGTACATTGCTAAGCCACGGTTTAAAGTGACAACTTTGTAAGTCAATAAAACTATTTACATCTACTTTCTTAAAATGGGTTTTACTTTTTATTTGGTCTGATTCTATAAAAATATCTAGGTCTAAAAAGGTAATATTTTGATTACTTGTACTGGAGGTGAGTTTAATATTCCAATCATTGGAATTTAGGAACTCTAAAAACTTAACCAAAGAATCTCTATCTCCTCTCCATATAATAAAAATATCGTCTATATACCGCTTATAAAGGACCAAGTTCGCCCCTAAATCTACACTGGGGAGAACAAATGTCTCTTCCCAGTGAGACATAAATAAATTAGCATAACTAGGGGCGAACTTGGTCCCCATAGCGGTTCCTTGAATCTGTAAATAAAACTGTTCTTCATACCAAAAAAAATTATTTTTTAATATGATCTCTATACCTTTTAAGATAAAATCGACCTGCGGTTCATTAAAATCTCCCAATTTCTTCAAAAAATATCTAATGGCCTTACAACCCCTCTCATGAGCTATATTTGTGTATAAACTACTCACGTCACAGGTTGCCATAATGTATCCTTTTTCCCATTTAAAATCTTTTAAAATATTTAATAAACTTATTGTGTCTTTCAAGTAGGTTGGACATTTCTTAACTAGATCTTGCAAGAATTGATCAATATACTGCGATAAATTAGATAAAAGTGATCCTATACCGGACACTATCGGTCTCCCGGGTGGGTTAGAGATATCTTTGTGTATTTTAGGCAACACATAAATCACTGGAATTTTTGGATATTCTATTTTTAAGAACTTGTATTCTTTATTATTTAAAATTCCCATTTCTAATCCTTCCTTGATAAAAGCTTCATATTCTTCCTTTATCTTTGTCAGTGGGTTAGCATCTAATTTTAGATAAGTAATTTTATCATTTAGTTGATTCTGAATTTCTTTTAAATACTTGTCTTTTTGCCAGATCACCACCCCACCTCCTTTATCAGCTGGTTTTATTATCACTGACTCGTCTTCTTTTAAATCTTTTAAGGCTAGTTTTTCTTTTTTTGATAGATTCCCCTGATATTTATTTAAAGGTTTTAGTCTTTTTAGATCTTTCAAACATAATTTTTCAAAAACCTTCATAGCTTCGGATTTCTTATTTACTGGGTAAAAAGAGGATTTTTGTTTTAAATCTGTATGTTTGTACAAATCATTATCGCTAATTATTTCTTTATTTACTGTAAAATCCTTAAAAAAATTTTTTAGGCATAATTTACGTAAAAATCTATTTAAATCTAAATAACTATTAAATTTATTAGCTTCGCAACTCGGAGCAAATTTAAAACCTTTTCTTAAAACAGACATGTGTGTGTCTGTCAAAATTTTTCCTGATAAGTTGAAAATAGGAATAGGTTTTTCATCTATTTCCTCCTTATCCTCTCTTCTCTTTTTCTCTTTCCCTCCTCCTCTATTTCGCCCTCTTCTATTTCTCTTGTTCTCTTTAATGGGGTGTTCAGCTTTCTCCTGTTCAGATAAGCTGGTCCTAAAAAAAGATCTTGACCTTCCTCTCTAAATTCTCCTAATTTTTCAAATCTATTAAAAATGGTGGTTCTCTGTGGAGATACCTTTCTAGAGATCCTATTAGTTTGAAAGGTAGAATTTGTAGGTTCCCTTTTATTAAAGTATTTCCTCCTTCGTGGAGTAACTGTCTTCCACTCATTCTCTCTTCTTGATAAAATCCTTTCTTTAGAATATTCTCTTTTATTTCTCTCTTGTCCTATCTTTGTTTGACGGTAATGTGGAATGTCTCTATTATCTTTCTTTTTTTCCATATTTTCCTTGTTAGGATAATTTCCTCTTGTTCTATATTTATCCCTATTTCTTTCTGAATTGGAAAAATTCCTAATTCTTCCTTGAGCATAATCATCCATATCCCGTTTAAACTTCTTTCTTTTAGTTTCAATGATCTTTTTTTCTAACTTACTAATCTTCTCAATCATTTTTTTATTGATGCTTTCAAACTCCTCCATTAATATGAAGGGTTCTAATTTTATCTGAATATCTTTAATTTTTTCTTCCAATTGATGTAGAGTCTGACCCCTCTGTTCAATTATAATCCCTATCATATGAAATGAAAAAGACTCTAAGGAATTATCCCAAATTTTCATAAAAACGTCATGATCCTGATCAAAAGTGGGGAGTTTTTGGAATCTTAAACCTCGTGGGGTGATTTTTTGAGTGATATATCTTTCTAACGTAAACACCTCCCACTTAATTTTCATTTCTTTGGTCAATAATTTTTCTAATTGTTCACACATAACATCTAAATTATCGCTAACAAATATATCATTGGTTACCGTTTTATCTTCAAATCTTTTATCCATATCTTTTTGCCATATTTGTCTCATATTGAAAATAGACATGGTGTAAAATTTAACAATATCTCCCTTTCAAGAGTGAAAACAGGCAGTTTATATAAAACACAATTTTAGAAAGGAAAAGCTGATAAAAATGCTCAAATCACCAAGTGTGAGTCACTCCAAATCACACAAAGAACCATACAATACAATAATAATATAGTGAGAGCAAACTCTATACACCAGATAAAATGGATATAAAAACAGGCAATATTACCATATGGCTGCAATGTCCTAAAAATAGAAAACAGGGAACATAGTATAGCCTGTATAGAATATACAAAAAATAATACAATGTAAAATTGTCCACTCACGTGGTACTGAGCCGTTCAGTGGCTCAGACTATAGGCGCCTTGTAAAAATATGGAGACCACAATGCTGGAAAGGCAAATCTCTGTAGGAATTCCCTTTTGTGACTAAATGGAAAGTCGAGTCAGGAAATACAGGAACAAATTTTATTCGCCAACAATCGCATATAAAATGGAATCTCTCAAATTATTGCACTAACGCGTTTCAACCTAAACGGTCTTTATCAAAGTGCTAACAGTGTTAAACAAATTAAACATTTAAATATAATTACAAAAAGGCGCGCTGTGATTTCTTCCGGTTCACTTCCGGATTTCGGCTATCCGACCTCCAACTTCCGGTCACGTTGTATTGCGTCTCTTCAAACACTTCCGGGTCAGCGGACGGTGTTTCTCTTGCGTTCCAGTACGTCTTCAATCTCAGTCGTAATTTCCGGCTTCCGGTCATGTGACCTATCACGGGATACTTTCGGGCAAAAATCATGACTCCCTTGCATTTTAATAAAGTTCCGGTCTCAAATAAAATCGAAATTTACTTCAAATGTCTCTAATTAATATGTCCATACATAAATCCATCGAGCATATTTTTTAAAATAAGAATAAATAAATCAACAAATATAAAAATGATCACTCTATCAATTATACACAATAAAAAATTAAAAAATGTCTCTAAAAAGATAAAATAGAGCTCATTAACAATACAGGGATACATATATGAGGAGAGAAAAAAGGGGGGAGAGAAGATAATAATAGATTAAGATACATAATATAATTATAATACATCTAAAAAATATATATATTATAAAAAGGGAGTAATTTCAAAATCCACATTCAAGCCATCAGGAGTCAGGGTGTTGAGGTTAAACATCCACCTCATTTCTGCTTTGCTTAGAAGAATGAAACATATTATATAAGGATAAACAAAATAGAAAGGAGAATAAGTGACAGCTCAGAAGAGAAAGAGTATAACAAAAAAAAGAGCACTTCATAAAGATAATATATTAATTAAATACTCATAATGACTGTGTTGGAATTTCACTGATAATATAAAAAAAGTAGAAACTACTTTGCCATTTATTTTTCCGACAAATCTT